CTCTGATAAAACTCCAGTAAGTTAGGCTCTGGTAAAATAGTTCCTCCTGAGGCCCAACAATGTTAAAAAGAACAGAATGCTCTGGAAAATTTCAAAATAATTGCTTTTCCCCTCACTTGCCAGAAGCATGAGGGGATTTTACTCCAGTACTCACAGTAAAGACATGCGAGAACTCTTGGAGTTAAACCTCTTAATACTGTGCAAGCCTCCCTGTGACTGGGTCCCCCTGGAGGTTTTTTTTTTTTTTACCATGAACAATTTATTTCAGTAACTATCTTAAATGAGAAATAACTATAGTTAAATTTTAACAAAAAAGTTTAATATCTATTTTTTTTTCCAGTTACTGTGCTAGACATTGTAGATTCTAACATGGGTAAAACAACCGTCCTACTTTTCAAAATAGTAGTAATTGTAAGAATAACAGTTATTTTTATTTTATTTTAATTGAAGTATAATTGACATGTAACAGTATACTAGTTTCAGGTGTACAACATAATGATTCAATATCTGTATATAATGCAAAATGAGCACCAAAATAATGATTACCATCACCTTACATAATTACTAAAAATTTTTTTCTTGTGATGAGAACTTTTAAAATTTACTCTCTCAGAAACTTTCAAACATGCAACGTAGTATTATTAACCATAGTCATCATGTTGTACATTACATCCCCATGACTTATTTATTTTATAACTGAAAGATTGGACCTTTTGACCCCCTTCACCTATTTCTCTCATCCCCCTACCTCCTTGCTTCCAGAAACCACCAGTCTGTTTTCTGTATGTATGAGGTGTTTTTGGTTTTTTTTCTTTTAGATTCCCCATGGAAGTGAGATCTTAAGATATGTGTCTTTCTCTGTCTGACTTATTTCACTTAGCATAATGCTCTTGAGGTACTTCCATGTTGTCACAAATGGCAAGATTTCAGTCTTTTTTATGGCTGAGTAATATTCCATTGTATATGTATAACTATCACATTTTCTTTATCCATCTATCCAGCAGTGGACACTTACGTTGTTTCCATATCTGAGCTATTGTAAATAATGCTGCAATGAACATGGGGGTGCATACATCTTTTTGTTAGTGTTTTCATTTTCTTTGGATAAATATCCAGAAATGGAGTTGCTAGATCATATGGTAGTTCCATTTTTAATTTTTTTGAGGAACTTCTATACCGTTTTCCAAGTGGCTATACCAATTTACATTTGCACCAACAGTGCACAAGTCTTCCCTTTTCTCCACATCCTCACCAACACTTATTATTTCTTGTCTTTTTGATGATAGCCATTCTGACAGGTTTGAGGTGACATCTCATTGTGGGATTTTTTTTCTGCTTTTTCTCCCCAAATCCCCCCCAGTATATAATTGTATATTTTAGTTGTGGGTCCTTCTAGTTGTGGTATGCAGGATGCCTCCTCAACGTGGCTTGATGAGTGATGCCATGTCCACACCCAGGATCTGAACCAGCGAAACCCTGGGCTGCCGCAGCGGAGGACGTGAACTTAACCACTTGGCCACGGGGCCGGCCCCTCATTGTGTTTTTGATTTGCATTTCCCTGATGATTAATAATGTTGAGCACTTTTTCATGTGTCTGTTGCCCATCTGTATATCTTCTCTGGAAAAATGTATATTCAGTTCCTCTGCCCATTATTTAATCCAGATTTTTTTTTTTGCTATTGAGTTATATGAGTTCTTTGTACATTCTGGATATTAACTTCTTATCAGATATATGATTTGCAAATATTTTCTCCCATTCACTAGGTTAGCTTTTCATTTTGTTGATGGTTTCCTTTGCTGTGCAGAAGCTTTTTAGTTTGATGTAGTCCCACTTGCTTATTTTTGCCTTTGCTTTTGATGTCAGAGTCAAAAATTCATCAAGGAACTTACTGTCAAGGAGCTCACTACCCATGTTCCAGGAGTTTTATGGTTTCAGGTCTTATGTTTGAGTCTTCTATCTCTTTTCAGTTAATTTTTGTGTATGGTGTAAGATAGTGGTCTAGTTTCATTCTTTTGCATGTGGCTCTCCAGTTTACCCAGCAACATTTATTGAAGAGATTGTCCCCTCCCCATTATATAGTCTTGGCTCCTTGGTCATAAATTAATTGACCATATATGCATGGGTTTATTTCTGTGCTCTCTATTCTGTTCCACTGACCTATGTGTCTGTTTTTATGTCAATACCATAGTGTTTTCATTACTAAAGCTGTGTAACATAGTTTGAAATCTGAGAGCATGATGCTTCCAGCTTTATTCTTTCTCAAAATTGCTTCAACTATTTAGGGTCCCCTAGAGTTTTTTTTAACTCTCAGATTTGTCCACACTGAGCCTCTTGCAACTCATCAATTACGGTTTAGGTTTCTTATCCCCACACTGGTTCCCACGGAGGTTTCTCTTGTGGGTCTCTGCTCTGGTAAATTGTGATTTCTCTGAATCTGCCAGTCTTATCTCCCAATATTGGGTGTAGCTGTTTGCCCTGTGACCTCACTTCTCTGATGAATCTAAGAAGAGCTGTTGATTTCTCAGTTTGTTCAGTTTTTTGCTTTATAGGATGGAGTGGTGACTTCTAAATTTTTTACATGCCAGACAGGAAACTGGAGTTCTCTTTTCAATTTATCTTTGTTACTTTTTTCCCTTTTTATGGTTTGCTGTGCTTTCTGTGCTGCCAGTTCTTTCTTCAATTCCTTGTAATTTAGTCTTCTTTTCTGAAATGATTTTGTCTTTTCCTTCACTTTCTTTTCTTATGTCTGTCAATTCTTATTTCACATCATCTTATTGTCTTGCCACCTCTTCTCTGAGTTCTTTTATTTCTGCTTCATGAACTTATTGGTTAATTAAGTTACCAAATTAATGTTGAAAATACTGCAACTTCTCTCCACATTGTAGTGGCATTTTCCTGGTGTGTTTTTCTTCTAACAAAAAATTTTGATTTTTCATTTTTTCCCCTAACATTATGTATACAATTGCTAAATTTTTTTTTAAATTTTAATTGGATGAATTTTTCTAGATCAACTATTAATAGGAAGATTCTCCGGAAGAAGAAAATGGTTAGGGTAGCTCTCTCAGTTTTCCTCTTCTTATTAAGCAATCAATAGTTTATTCAATATATGGTGACTTTTGGTAACCAGATTTCTTTTGATTCTCATATTCTTTCTTGTTTTAGAAGGGCTCCTTTCATTGCTATTTCCCTCCTTCCTTATCTACACCATCAGCCAGTGCTACCAGGGATGCAGCTTCTGCCTTGTAAATTAATCCCCTCTCTTTTTGACTAGTGCTTTTTTTTTAAGTCTATAACCTCTGTTGCCTGTATATTCTCCATATCTTTTTGTTTTGTCTCTCCTAGTTTTACCTGCCCACTTTGCACTCAGACATGCCCTCAAAAGTTTCCCCTCAGGGTGTGGCTCACTCCTCGGAATAATTATTTGTTCATTTGGGAGGGCAGAAATGGCAGGATAGAGTTTGCTACCCCTGGACCCTTTGGATTCCCTCACCTGCTACACCACCATGGCTTTCCACACTCGTGGATGCTGTTTGTCTTTCACCTACCATTATTTGTGTTTTCTCTATCTCACAATTTGCCTAAAGGGATAAGTTGTGTGTACTTCATTCATTCTTCTTCATATATTATACAGTTTTAGGAGAAAAGATAGGGACATATGGGTCTAAGCAGATTCCATAACACAATCTGAACCCCAAAACCCTGAATGATATTTTAAACCATTCAAAGCAAGTACCTCCATGATGGCTCTATCACTGATTCCAAAAGATGACAAAAAATGGGGGTTTTTAAGAAATACCGATTCTTGGAATCCTCCCCAGAGTTCTTGATATAATTGTTCTGGGGTGGAGACTGATAATCTTTGTTTATTATAAAGCTCTCTGGATGATTCTGATGCACAGCCAACTTGGGACCTAACAATCATGAAGTGAAAAACCTTTTTTCAACAACAAGAAAAAATGCTGTAAATAAAGACTTTTTAGGGGAAACCTGTGCCACTAATAACTACGTTATTTTTCCTTTCAAAATATCCTTATTCTTTGTATTTTACATCAAGTTAGCCAAAATTACCTAATTTTACATTTAGCATAAATTTCTTTGACTCTGTACGTGAACTAGCTCCATGTCTGTCTGGGTTTAAAAGTTTGAAAAATATTATATTCATAATAGGCAAATAAAATAAAGCACCATAGAAATTAATATAAAGAAAAACACAAAATGATCAGGGCCATCATGTTTGGTTGTGCACTGCAAAACCAGGTATCGGTTTATGGTGACTCTAACATGTATACTTGTGTCTATGCTGTGCATTGATTGAACTATAAAAATTTAGCAAGAAAAGGCTATAAATTTATATGCAAACTGTCATTAGCAATAATCATACTGCACTCTAATCCCTCGGAACAAGGTCTGTCTTTTATTTCCTTTATATTATTCAAATAACTAGTACAATGTTCTGAATACATGGTAATATAATAAGAATGTAAACATTAGTTAAGGTAAGCTAATTTTGAAATTAAGTCTTTTGATGGGAAGGGTATTACTGGTTGCTTGTTTGTTATCAAAATCAAAATAGACATCTTTATGCATACAAATGAGTTAAATGAGTACAAGCAATAGGTTAAACAGTTTCTGTGTAACAGACCAGAGAAAGCACACAACTACAACTTGTCACAAAGATCAAAGCAACAAAAGTAAACAAAGAATCTGACCCTAGGGCAAGTCTGTTCTTATTACCCATCTTCATTGACAGCCATATATTAAGTCAAATAAACAATGTTATAAAAATATGACATACTACATATTAAAGTTCAAACTTCAGGCAGGAAGAATTTCTTTAGAAATAAAATTCCAAAGCATCTCATCAATGAAGACAGTTGAAGGCTTCATTTAAAAGGCACAAAACTTTACCATCATAAACGAAAAAAAACTTTCAAAGCCAAGTCTTATATATCATAATCCAAAAATAAAACATACCAGTTAGTTATGCCCATATTCTCACCTGTCCAACCAGTATAAGCAGAGCAATCATGCGGATCAGCTGTCTTCAGCCCTTCTTCCATTTGCTGTAGAAGATCTTTGATTTTGCTCTGGATTCGCCTTGTGAAATTATGAATGATCTGAGAACCAAAAGGAGACATAAATTTAAATTGCACAAGACTAGGACAATATTGTAATAAATATTTTAGCTAACAGCTTAAGTTATAAGAGCATAACAGACAGAAATTATATTACCTGGCCGATTTCAAGGTTTCATTGGTTGGAGTCTACCTTGGCTTTTATAAAGTATGTTTTAAATGAGATAATGCCCTATATGAACTATAAGTCATAAGTGGGATCACAAAAAATAAGTTGCAGAAACCAAGGAAAAAAACTAGAAAAGAAAAAAAAGATACATTTGACTATACAAACATTTTAACTTCTATAAGTTAAAGAACATAAGAAAGATGGTTTACAAGTTAATGACCTGGGGGAAATATTTGCAATGTAAGACATTATAAATTTTTTAAAAGACTCTAACACTACAGAAATAGACCTAAAATGATCAATGTACTTCATAAAAAGAAATAAATCAAATGACAAGCATATGGAAAAATGTTCAATCACTTAGCAATTAGTGAAATGCAGATAAGTACAAGTACCATGATTTGTCTATCAGATTAACAAGTAAAAAAAATTTTTAAAAAATATTAAGTCCCAAAGCTGCTAAGAGCTAAGGAAACAGTTGTTCTTATTCACTGCTGGTGGTCTTTCTCATGGGAAATTTTGCAATGTTTTTAAACATGTAGTTGATAGCATTGTTCAGATTTTTCTGCCTTGGCTGATTTTTGAAAACTCTAGTTGCTATATCAATTGCTGAGCAGTATTAAAATCCTGACTATGATTGTAAAATTATGTATCTCTTTAATTGGTTTTTTTTTTTTGCTTTTGTGTATTTTGAAATTGTTATTAGACACAGACAAATTTACGACTGATATGTCTTTGTGGTGAACTGATTCATTATCATAATGAAATTCTCTCTGTAGAATTATAGAGAAAATGTTCTCATGTTACTGTACAGGTAGGGCTTTCAGGGCAAATTTTACTGAAATTTGGGATTCTAGACTAAAAGCAAAACCTAGGAATTAAGTTACAATTGTATACATTGGGAGAACTCCAGAGAGGTTTACTTAATTCTAGAGGTACGTGTTTACCTCTAGAAAAGGGGGATGAGGCCCTAGAACAAGGAGACATTTCACAATTGTAACACGAATGGGCTTATCTTTTTCATAGAGAGATTTATTTATATTTCAAAGACTTACAATCAGATATTTCCAATGAAACTCTCTCAGAAGGGGAAAGGGAGATAGCTGCCTCTTTCCTGTTTATAAAAAGCACAGAAATCATATTTTTATTCATTCCTTGCCTACAATATGGACCTTGTATATGTAGAACAGTTGACCTGCTTTCATTGCATTGCCCCAAAGGTAACACCTAAGACACAGGGAATCACTCACTGGTTATCTTCTGTCTGGTAAATAATAAGAAATCTCTCATCCAGAAATCTCTTGTGAACATTCAGGAAAAAGTTAATAAGGATAAATATTAATAACCTAAACCAGACTGATGTCAACATCATGGCAGCATAAGAAGTTCCTCGTTTCTGTGCAGCCCTTAAAACAACAAAATTAGGCATCCATCCACAAACAGAAGTGCCTTTGGGTGAGTTGTAGAATGCAGCAACTTACACCAAGGGACCCATGTTGAGTCTAGCCCACCAGCGCAGCAAATAATAGGCAAATGGATTTCAGTACCACCTATGGAACCTAAAGAAGACAGTGAACTGTTTTTGGCCTCTCACCTGTGGTCCAGGGGTGCCTGCAGAACAGTGACTTGGGCAGTCACCTTTAGATGAGAGAGCTTTTGTGGAAGTTCAGATGTCCAGAGAAGAAATTCCAACACTCCACAGAATTTAAAAACAAAACAAAACAAACACGAGTTCGGCTGCACTGAAGTACTTAAATGGAACAGGTTTTCTTTGTCGACGTTACTCCTTCCCCAGGGTAGCACAGCTTAGGGCTAAATAGATGGCCCAGGACTTCTCCCACAGGGGAAAGGGAGAGAAGGTGAGTGAATTCCCAGTCTCCAAATCTGTGCTGAAGAGACTCACTTCTCTCAAATGGCATCCAGAGCATTAAAGAGGGCACTTTGTGACTGAAGAGCAATTTGGGAAAGTGGCATAAAGGACCCCCAGAGGTCACTCATTAAAAAGATGCAGTTCCAGCTGATGCATTCTGGACTCTATCAGATACATGAAAAATCAAGGAAACATGACATCAGCAAAAGATCACAATAATCTTCCAGAAACTGAACCCAAAGACATGAAAATCTATGACTCACCCAATAAAGAATTCAAAATAGCTGTTTTAAGGAAAATCAATGAGCTACCAAAAAACACAGCAAGACAACTGATGAAATCAGGAAAACAATAAATTATCAAAATGAGAAATTCAACAAAGAGATAGAAATAACAAAAAAGAATGGAAGAGCAATTCCGGAGGTAAAGAATTCAATGATTGAAGTGAAAACTGCAATAGAGAGCATCAAAAACAGAGTAGACCAAATGGAAGATAGAATCAGTGATATAAAGGATAGGAACTTTGAAATAACTGACTCTGAGGAGAAAAAAGAGAAAAGAGTGAAAAAAGCCTACAGTATCTATAAGACATTTTCAACAAAACCCCAACAATATCCAAATCATCAGAATTCCAGAAGGAGAAGAGAGGGAGAAGAGAGCAGAAAGTTTATTTAAAGAAATAACAGCTGAGAACTTCCCAAACCTGAAAACAGATTTGGACATCCAAGTTCACAAAGCTAATAGATTATCCCATTATTTCAATCTAAAATGACTTCCCCAACACATATTATAATAAAACTATCAAAAATTGTACGCAAAGAGAGAAACCAAAAGGCAGCAAGAGAAAAGAACATTGTAACCTACAAAGGAACACTCAAAGGGATATCAGCAAATCTGTCAGCAGAAATCTTACATTTCAGGAAAGTTTGATGATATTTTTAAAGTGCTGAAAGAAAAAAAATGCCAACCAAGAATACACTGTCTGGTAAAGTTATCCTTCAGGAATGAAGGAGAAATAAAGACTTTCTCAGACAAACAAGAGCTAACGAAATTATCACCACTACAACTACCTAACAAGAAATGCTGAAAGGAGTTCTTTAAGCTGAAATGAAGGAAGCTAACTAGTAACACGAAAACATGTGAAAATATAAAACACACTGATAAAGACAAATATGTAGTCAAAATCAGAAAACTCTAACACTGTAACACCATGGTGTGTTAACCACTTAAGTCTAGCATAAAGGTTAGAACAAAAGCATCAAAAATAACTATAGCCACTATAATTTGTTAATGAATACACAATACAAAAAGAGGCAAATGGTGACAAAACAACATAAAAAGGTAGAGGTTTTGTAAGTGACGGAAGTTAACCTTTAGCATAAAATAGACTCCTTTACCTATAAGATATTTTATGTAAGTCTCATGGTAACCACAAAGCAAAAAATTAAAGTAGACTCACAAAAAATAAAGATTAGGGAATCAGAACATCCATTGATGGGAAACCACTAATTCACAAAAGAATGCAGCAAGAGAGTCAAAAAGGAACAAGGAAACTACAAAACAGGTGAAAAGCAATGCAAAACATGGCACTAGGAAGTGCTTACCTATCCATAATTATAGTCACGTATTGCTTAATGACAAGGACACAGTCTGAGAAATGCATTGTTAGGTGATTTCATCATTGTGTGAAAGTCATAGTGTGCTTAAATCAAGCACAAAAGAAAATGATGCAATCAAGAGATGCAGGAAACATGAGATGTATAAGGCTGCTGCTGGCGTAACACGGCATACTGCTTTCCAGTAAACTTTTTTATAAGTAGAAAGAGTATACTCTAAAATAATGGTAAAAAGTATAGTATAGTAAATATATGAACCAGTACTACAGTCATTTATTATCAAGCATTATGTACTATATATGATTTATCTGCTATACTTTTATATCACTGGCAGCTCAGTAGGTTTATTTACACCAGCATCACCACAAACATGTGAGTAATGCATTGTGCTACGTTATGATGCCCATGACATCACTAGGTGATAGAAATTTTTCAGCTCCATTATAATCTTATGGGACCATCATCATATATGCATTCTCTCAGTGATTGAAATGTCATTATGCAGTGCACAACTCTAAATGTAAGTGGATGGAGCTCTCCAATCAAAATGCACAGAGTGGCTAGATGGATCAAAAAACAAGGCCCAACTATATACTGCCTACAAGAGACTCACTTCATCTTTAAGGACAGACATAGGCTCAATGTGAAGGGATGAAAAAAGATAGTCCATGAAGTGGAAACCAAAAGAAAGCAGAAGCAGCTATACTTATATCAGAAAAAAAGAGACTTTAAGTAAAAAACAGTAACATGAGACAAGATGATTATAGAAAGATAAGAGGTCAACTCTGCAAGAAGACATAACAATTACATAGGCACTCAACATAAGACCACTTAAATATATTAAGCAAATGATAATTGAGCTGAAGGAAGAAACAGACAATACAGCAATAGTAAGAGACTTTAATACCCAACTTTCAACAATGGATAGATGATCCTGAGAGAAAATCAACAAGGAGACATTGGACTTTAGCCAGACATTAGACCAAATGGATGTAACAGACATATATGAGACATTCCATAGAACAAAAACAGAATGTACATTCTTCCCAAGTACACAGGGAACATTCTCAGGGATAGATCATATGATAGACCACAAAACAAATCTTACCAAATTTAAGAAGATTGAAGTCACTTTTGTTGATAATGTTGTCAAATTGATTTCAACCCCTAGCAACCCTGTATACAGCAGAGTGAAACCCTGCCCAGTCCATTTGAATCATTCTCTTATCTTTCAGCAATATATCAGACAATGCTCTACTGCTATTCATAGGATTTTCATGGCTAAATTTTGGTGGCCAGGTCCTTCTTCCTAGTGTGTTTTATTCTGGAAGCTCTGCTGAAATCTGTCACCAAAGGCGACCTTGCTGATATTTGAAATATGGGTGGC